CACTCCCCGGGCTGCACTGCACCTCTCACACACACCCTCACACCCTCCCTGACCCTCACACCCTCATGCACCCTCCCCGATCTGCACCCTCCTGAACCTTTTGCACACCCTTCTCAATTCACGCTGTGCCTCTTGAGTATCCCCTCACACCCTCCTTGACCCACACCATACTTCTTGCGTGCACCCTTGCACACCCAATCCAACCTGTGCTGCGCCTCTTGTTCACTCCCTCACACCCTTGCACACCCTCCCCAACCCTCACTCACACCCTCACTCACCCTCTCCAACCTCTCCTGCACCTCTGCGCACCCCTTCACTTTCTTCCCCACCCAGCAGCAACCACTTATCTGCCTGCCAGCCTTGGAACTTCCTGTTGGCTTCCCCACAGACTTTGGTTGTGGGAGCCAGCAGGAAGTTGCCTCGCCTAGTGACCATGGGATTCAGTTAATGACAGCAACTGAAACTGCAGGGATTGCTGTCGCTAAGTGATGCTTTATGACCACATCATTTAGTGATGGAAACTCCACTCCCAATTGCCGTTGTAAGTCAGGACTACCTGTATGTTCTTAAGAATATAAGAATAAGACAAGTTTTTTATTTGGATTTAAGTATTTTCCCCTAAAATTACACTATTATATGGCATATGAGAATGACGTTGGCTCTTTTATTTTAACAACAGCGGACAGTAGATCTCAGGTGCAGCGAGCCCGCTATGAGGCTGCTAACTGGAAGTACAAGTATGGTTATGAGATTCCAGTGGATATGCTGTGTAAAAGGATTGCGGATATTTCTCAGGTCTATACACAGAATGCTGAAATGAGACCTCTTGGTTGCTGTAAGTATAAATATAAATTGAAAGTAATACTAAACTGTTGGAAGCTGAGGTTGTAGTCCCATGAAGCTATGAAATCTCATCCCAACTGACTCCACCAAATATTTTGGCTTGCATAAAATTCATATTTTAACATCGGGATAAAGGCTGATATTCTGTTATCAACCATTCTGTTGAACACACAGGAAGGCAACCTGCTACCTTCCTTTTTTTTTCAGTTACCGTTTTCATATAATTTAATTAGCAAGGTCTGTGCTTTGAAGTTATTATCCAAAACTTCTGGAAAACCTCAGATTGCTTACTCCTGATCTATCCTATGAAACTAATTCAGCAGCCAAATTAATTGGAAATTGCACAAGCATACTTATTTTCTTTCTCTTGGTTTATTTCATAACTGCAGCAGTGCATGGCATCAGTTCAAGTTTCTAGAAAGGCTTACTTGACAAACAAGTATTAAATGCTGCTTTCAAATGAATATGCTTTCTTCTGGTTAACCACATCCCAACCATAAGAAAGCAAAAAGTGATTTCTCATACAAACACTTTATAGATTTATTCCATTTTTAAATGTTTCCATGGATTGATCTGGATGCATCTTTCAAGTTTAATTTTTGTTATAACACACTTCTTGTGTTGGATCCCTGATTATAGTATTCAAATAAAAGTATATGCATATATAGAATAAGATTAATGTCTTCTGTTCTTTAGACTAACAGGCATGGTTTTTTAATGCATTTTGTTCTAAAATGTTGATCTATATATATTTTAATGTAATTAAATTTTAATGCAATTAGAAGGTGCCCCAACAGAATTCCAAGATGAAATGTCTGTATTGTCAGATCTTGTTGGATGTAGAATCCATTTTTGCTGTCTTTTGAATGACAGAGTTGGGAATTGTATCTGTTCAGTGTGAGTCTAAGAGATAGCAGAATTATTCTATCACATGAGCTGGTGAAAAGAAATTTTTAAAAAAGCATTCCTTATGTCAAGGATGCTGAGCTCTATTGATAATAGATGTGTCTGCACTAGTTTATAGAGTTTATCAGCTGTCATTTTCTTAGTTTTGCCTGGATACAGAATTTTCTAAAGTTCTTGATTGTGCAACACTTATTCAGATATTTATTTAAAATACTTATTTATAAATATTTATTTAAAATACTGCATATTTTACTGTATACATAGCTTTCTAGTCATGAGTGTTAAGTGATGCATTGAAAACTATGAAATGAAATCTTAGGTTTTAGGTCTCTTGAACATTTACTAAAATTCTATACACAAATGCTTTCTGTGTGTTGCTCTGCTTTTGGACAGAGAATTTTAATATGAGAATTGGACTCTAGGAATTAGAGTTCTGTCAGTTGGATTATAAGAAACTATAGAAGGGAAGTAATCTTCCAATTTATGCAAGCTCCATTAATATCAGGGACTTGCTTTGAAATGTATGTAGGACTAAGTAATATGTTAATAAAAAGTTATTTTGAACTTTTGCTTGCTTTTTTTCCAACTCCAAAAAGCTGATTTTAAAAATGCAGATTTTGAAAAAGCAAATATATTTTAGGTACCATTTTAGTATGAGGAATAATTCTACTCTTAATTGGGATGTTGATGTCTGACCAAAAAAACAATTTAAAATAGATAATAATACCTTTATATGAATTTTTAGTATTAACCAGACTTGAAATATTTTGTACTGTTTGTGTCACTGGATCATAAAGTTACTGAAGAGCTGAAGAAGATGCAGAAATTGGCAACAGAATTATTAGGAAATTGGAACAATGCCTGCCTGTTTTTCTCTAAGGAAGGAAAGGAAGGGAGCATGCATTGTTGGACAGGAAAAGGTTGGGCTTGACATTTGCAAACAAAGTTCTGGATGATTTTTTGGGGTGGGGGGGGTTGCTAGGCTTCTCATCTTCCTTCCAGTTCTCAAACTAGGATGCAACAACTATTGCTGTACAACTGCTCCAATAATTCTAACCTGCCTGCAATTTTAAGGTTGGGAGACATTCAGTGAGCCACACCAGAGTTGCCATACTGAGCAAAGCCTGAAGTTTATTCATGCATGTTTTATAAAAAGGGTGTATGAAAAATCTTGATTAGACCTAACTTCTTTGAAAAAATAAGAAAGCTATCTATGTTTACAAAGTTTTTGTTTTGTTAGCTGCTGTTCAGCGTCCAGAGTCACAATGTTAAGATGGGCAGCCATATACATTTAAATAAATAAATTTCCAAAATTATTATTTCCCTAAAGGTATGATTATGATTGGCATTGATGAAGAAAACAATCCTCAGGTATACAAGTGTGATCCAGCCGGATATTACTGTGGGTTTAAGGCCACAGCTGCAGGGGTCAAACAAACAGAATCAACCAGCTTTCTTGAAAAGAAAGTGAAGAAAAAATTGGACTGGACATTTGAACAGACAGTGGAGGTAAGTCCATAGGTTAGGTTGCATAGGATTAATAGGGTGCAATCCCAAATGGGGGAAAGGGTTTGAGATGTCCTGTTTGCTCTTCAGTGTGGTCACTACCACTATATAAGATGTTTTCTTCTAACTGGTATGCTTAGAGTGAATTTCGCTTATGTGGTTTACTGTCATCAATACTTTCTATTGGTAAAGCCATAAAAAAACCTGACTCACATTCCTGACTGGCATCTCATCTTTCTACAACATATTGCTAGAATTATACTGTATTAAGCTCCCTTTTCTAGGAAAAACAGTTGAATACCCAGGCAGATGAGAAATTCTTGTTATTTCCTGTGGTAAATATTATTGTCTTCCTTGGCAGAGCTTTCCCTTAAATCAGCTATTGTAATGTTAGTAATGAATTAACATTGGAATACAAGTAGTCCTCACTTAACGACCATTCATTCAGCAACTGTTTGAAGTTACAGTGATGCTGAACAAATGATAGCTATGGCTGTCCTTGAAGTTACGGCTGTTGCAGCACCCCCAGGATCACATGATCAAAATTTGGGTGCTTGGCAGTCTGCCATATTTACAACAGCATGCACTTCAGCTCCCAAATCCCCCCACCCGCCTATCTCCCCCCCATCTGTGCCCTTTTGGCTGCCTTTGTGCAACCTCCTCGAAGCCTCATGAGGCCTTGCAAAGGGCCAGCAGCTGACTTGGCCAGGCACACCTTGTCAGCAGTGGAAGGAAGAAAATGGCCAAGGTCAGCGGGGGGTGGTAGGGTGGCAAGGGTACGTGGTGAAGTGCAGGGCAGCAAAAGGGCAGAGATGGGAGGAAAATAGGCATGTGGGGGGAGTTGAAGTGGAGGTGAGCACGGCAGGGCAGGAGAAGTGTGAGGTCCTCGCCTAATGATGGCACAGTCCTGGCCTACCAACTGCAACCGGGACTACCAGAACTACCATCACTAAGTGGTGTGGCCACGTGAATGTTTCACCTAACAACCACACTCCTTAGCAATGGAAATTCTGGTCCCAATTAGGGTTAAGCAAGAACTACCTGTATGCAAGTAATCAGGACTCAGTTGACCTATATGAAATGTTGAAACAAAGCTTTTCTCCATCTTACAAATAAAGTATTTTCTTTTATTTGACATGATATTTTAAAAATATACAAAGTTATGCTTTAGTATTAGGCTTGCTTCATTTTAATAGTATTCCTCTCTGAAATCATCTGAGGCAGTTGTATACTTATTGTGTGTGAGTATACTGTATCTTCTAGTTGATAGAATGTGGGAAACGTATTGCCTTGCAAAATAGCGTCTAGAGATCATAGCTTGCACAGAGTAGCATAAGCATACTTGAAGTGAAACTAGACTTTAGTTGTGCTTGTGGCCTCCTGGGCAAAATGTGAGAAAACTGACAGGTTATAACCTTACTATTACCAGAAAATGCTACATATAACACAATTACAGTTAGTACACCTCTGTATTACTAAAAAGCATTATATGAAAGCCTTGATTGACCAAAGTCATGGTAAATGGCAGAGGTCAATATCTGTAGGTCTGTCTAATAAATGACTATAGAATATACAAGATTGTAGCTTGGAATTTATGAGGAGTAAAGTAATGAAGTGAAAGATATAAAAATAGATATGTCTGTGAAACTAAGAGAAAGTGGAAGGATGCAACAGATCAGAATTAAGGTAGGCTACTCTTGGGGAGTAGAGTTGATAAATACATGCAAGGAAATGAAGGTATAGTCTTAATTATGAAGGGAAGAGCACAATATGTGTCAGAAAGTATGAAATAGTATCATTTAGATTGCTTGTGAGCACATATGAAAGTAAGAGTCCAGAAGTTGGTCATAGATGCATGTTATGCTCCAGTAAATGTTGTTAACGGAAAAACTAGGGATGAATTTTGAGAAAAATTGTGCAACATTCAAAATGAATATAATCTAGGAGAAACAGTTATTCTGTTAGGTGACATGAGTAGGTAGGAAGAATGAGATAAGGGAAAGGTGACTGGGCCATTTGAAGACCCAAGAATGGTGAAAATGGTAATTGATGAGAATTTGCTTTTCAAAACAATTATTTCAAATATAAAATTTAAGTATTAAGTCTTCATTCATACACAAGGCAATTGAATGAGTATAAATCTAAAAACATGGCTGTTTCTATTCTTTATATTGAAAGATTATATGCTTCATTTTTTTTCTCTCAGAAGCGATGAGAGAATCTTAATATGAGAAAGACCATTTTTTGCTACTGGGGGAAAATAAGCATGGAAGAAAAGGAAAGAAGTAAAATAAATTAGAGTAAAAATAGAACTGTGAGAATGTTGAAGAATGGATAAGCTACATGTATAGATGGAATAACTGGAGAAGTGGTAAAATACAGATGTCATTTGTTTATGAATTAGCTGTATGATTTGTTTAACAGGTGTATGAAGATTGTATCTCTGCCTGATGGTTGGAACTATTTGTGTTATTTTCCTGTAGGAAAAGAAAGGTAACAAGTATAGATTGCCAAAACTGCAGACGGGTTATATGTCCCTGGTAAGGTGTTTGGCAGAATTGTGACTGAAAGGGTCCTAGAAGTGATAATGAGCAAAACCTGAAAATACATTGTGGTTTTATGCCAGGCAGGAATTGTATAGAACAGATTTTGGCACTTTAGGAAGTTATTTTAAAAAGTATGATTATGAAAAAAAAGTTATTGCAGGTTCTGGAAAGATATGATGAAGTGAGTGGGCATAGGTTATCCTTTGCATGTATATAGAGTAGAAAGTCTATTGCTGAATACAATAAGAGCAGTTTATCATTAAAGTAATGGATGTGTGTGTAAAAATGGAATATTTGACAAATTCTTCAAAACTGAGCATGCAGTAAGATCTATTGCTGAATACAATAAGAGCAGTTTATCATTAAAGTAATGGATGTGTGTGTAAAAATGGAATATTTGACAAATTCTTCAAAACTGAGCATGCAGTAAGATAATTCCCTAGGGAATTTAATATATTTATTGATATAATCTATAAGGCATATTTGTTGTGATGCATTTGGTTGCCTATGTGAATACATGTACTGTTGTGTACAGATGACCCTTTGTTGTTGGCTGATCACCTGAATGATTTGCATGGAATGTTAAATTGTATAATACAACAAGGAGTCTGTCTTGAAGTACTTGAAGTACTTGTGGTTTGAGATGGAAAAGTGAATATTTATAAAGATGGTGAAAAATTAGAGCAGGTAGATACATTTGTGAAAATGCTAGTAGAAAAATCAATATATGGTTCATTGCATGGAATCAATGTTTGTTACAAGTGAAAATATCTGAGTAAGAGCATGCTTCTATTTTGTTATTTAGAACTGAGAGGTACATTAGGGGAATCATAAAAATAAAGTACAGTGGGAATGGGCTGTCTAAGTGTATGTGGTAAAACAAGAAGTGATAGGATTGTGAATGAATGGGTAACAAATGATAAAAGTAAGTGATCAGTACAAAGAGAGTAAATGGGGTGAGAAGAAGGGGAAGACTGGGAAAGTTAGGTGTAGTTGATGAGATCCTCAAAAAGAAAGGTGGAAGTTTAACAACAAAATGTGATCTATGCAGCCGTGTAAGGACAGGGTGAAAATAAAGTCAGTCACTGCTTCTGCTTCTTTGCCACCTGATTGCATTGGGTTCAGGTTACCTATTGATGCAATCATAGCTTTTAAAAAAAAATTGAGTGGCAGATTACTTTTTGATTCTCTTTCACCTTTAACAAGAGATTCTTTAACTCTTCCTCATTTCCAGCCATCAGAATGATATGAGTAGCATATTTAAGGTGATTGTTTCTCCCAGTAATCAGTTTTGCCTTTTTTTGCTTTTTGCATTTTTGGTTCATCATTAAACATGTAATGAATTTTAGTCCAGAGTTCTTTGGGTGTTCTATTTATCAAATCAAAATCCTTAAGTTTATTCTTTATCTTCACCATGTAATCATATGGAATATTGCTGAGATTGTATCTTGTTGGTTTGATGATGTTGTTTGTTTTCTTTAACTTGTAATTTTGTAAGGTGCTTTGAGCTGAAGTCAGCACCAGATCTTGTTTTTGTTGAGTGAATAGTTTTTCCTTCTTTGCTTGCTGAGTTACAGTCATTTGATGTGAATGTTATTCATTTGGTGATGTCCACATGCAATCAATCATTTTTTTAGATTGTTGGAAGAAGAAATTTGCTATGAATAAATACATTTTATTTATTTATTTTTATTATTATTTTATTTTACATAAATGAATGAAATTTGGTTTACATTTTCTTGACAGAACTCTTGTAGGTCTGGCTCCTGATTTGTTTTTCATAAAAGCATTCAGCTTCTGCTTCCACTGCATCTGTAGTTGGGCATAGACTTGGATCTCTATAATGATTGGCTTGCCTTGGACTGAAATTGATCACAATGTCATTTTTAGGTTTCAGGTATCCAAGCACTGTGACATCCTTTTGTTAATAATGATAGCTACTTCATTTCTTCTATTATTTTCTTGTCCACATTAGATCTAATGCGAACTGACCCATTCTAATCTGATAGTCCATGCATCAATGGTATACATATATTTGCAGCACTGAATTGCATTATTTTTTAAAAAGGCATCTAATATTTCTATTAATATTATTTTAATTGATATAATTGAGCAATAAGATCAGTTTTGCCTCCTCAAACTACTTTTTTCAATAATTAAAACAATAACTTAGTCCTTACAGTAATGATGTTAAATGTGTCTTAGGGAACATTTGAATCCACTTGTGTTATAACTGTTAGGGAATAGGGAATTCTAATACAGGAGATGTATTTGCTTTCTGAAGAGCTCTTTTTAAACCATAGAAAGAGTGTGAGGTTCATACTTTAGTAGCAAGAACTGTAGAGCCTATAAAACTTGTCACTTTTTCATAACTACTGATAATATACATAGCAATCTAGCTGTAATTATGATCAACAGAAGAAATTATTGTTACCTGCATTGAGCCTTACTTTGATTCAGGTATGAACCTAAATTTATGCCAGAGAACAAACTACATTTTTTTAGAAATGCTTAGAATAAATAAGTATTCAAATTAGTTCAGAATAGTAAATGTAACTACTATACAAGTTACTCTACTACCCTGATTGGTGGTAAATAGTTTTAAATGTCCTGGAAAGCTTTGAAGGAAAGCTGCTAGGAATTACACTGCTGTTGTCTTTACAAATAATTCCTAACTACAGGTAGTCCCCAGGTTAAGAAAGCCTGGTTTACGGATGACCCATAGTAAAGAATGGAGCCTATTGTAGTAAAATTTGAGTTAAATACACAATAATTCAAGTTAAATACACAGTGGTTTGAGTTAATTAAATAACACTACTTATATAGAATTATACAATGATATTGTTCCGGCTTACATACAAGTTCAACTTAAGGACAGACCTTGGGAATGGTACTCATTCTTAAACCGGGGACTACCTGTATAAGAAATTAATTTATAAACTCAGTTGTTTTCCTTTTCAAAGCTGTGCTAGAATTTTGTATTTGAAAAACTTATAGTTGGGCTTTGCCTGTGAAGGGACAAAGATTAACGAGTATCTGAAAGAAAAAGCAGGTTTGTAAATTGACCAGTATTAGAAATGTTTCTGATAACATTTGTTTTATGTTTCGCTTCTAGACAGCAATAACCTGCCTTTCTACTGTTTTGTCTATTGACTTCAAACCATCTGAAATAGAAATAGGGGTTGTTACAGTTGATAATCCAAAATTCAGGTAATGTAAAATTGATTTTTATTTAGTTTTGTTGGCATGGTTGATTCTGGCTATCTGTTTATGTATGATGTGAGTATATGCCACAACTGCCAAGTAAAAATTAACTATAGACTTTTTGGAATCCAAAGGGAATTGTACAGAGCAGGCAACATCATGGCATAGCATTGGCAGAGAAATATATGATTTCCCCTTTCTTAACATAAGGCTAGTGATACTAGGCACAAGTTAGTGCAGAATCAACTTTCGTACTTTACACAGTACTACATACTTTGCCTGTAGACCCTAACATGAAGCCTAAACCCAGATATTCTGGCACGTGGACCTCAGTTAGAAATAGCTCACATAGAAGCATTTCTAATGTTTCCTGTGTCAAATGGACTGTGTGGTTCTAGTCCAGGTTTAATTGTGCTGATAATCCCTGAGGGTATCTCCTCATCCAACCAGATTGGATAGTCTGCTCCAGGTCCCTTCCCTTAAATGTTGCCACCTTGCAGGACCTAGGAAATTATTGTTCTCTGTTTTTATTGGTTGTATATTTTATTTTATTCTCTGGTTGTGAGCCACCCAGAGTTTGGTTTTAGGACGGGCAGCTATACAAATGTTTTAAATGAATAAATAATAACATGATTATTTGTGATGAAAAATAAATGTTTCCATTGTTTTCCCTTCTTTCTAGGATTCTTACAGAAGCAGAGATTGATACACACCTTGTCGCTCTAGCAGAGAGAGATTAATTCTGTTTAAAATTCCCCATTCTGTGATTACAAAGCAGAATGTCTGGTGAATACAAATGGTGGTTCTGAATTATGAGATGAAAACCGAATGCCCTCTATCCAATGTATTTCTTCACCACGAATAAATAAACTGAGGTTTTGGAATGGTTTGTTCTCTTTATTGCTTGATATTGAAGTCATGATATGTCAGTGATGCTGTGACTCAATCTATAACTATTTTATTCCTTATATATCAAAATAATTTCCTTTGACAATACAGTATAGTCCCTCTCCAATCTTTAAGTCTTCCAAAATTTTAGAAACCATAGCATACTAATGAAGGATCCCTTACTGCTATTGGAAACAGCAAAAAAATCTGCTATATTGTTCTTCTGTACATGTGAAAAGTTAGGCCCATTGATCTTGTTTTCCTTATTTCTGGATAAACATATGTGGAGCACTAGCTTCATTTACTGTATCTTCTTGGTATATAGTGAGAATCCAATAAGCAGAGGCGAATACAATTAATATAATTCAAGTCCAATTGAAATGACAAAAGTAACATTAATAAAACTGGGTTAATGTGTTATGGTCTTCTCTGTGAAGGAAATGAGTAGGGGTATGCAAAATGTTTCATTTGAAATAGTTTGAAACACACCATTTTGTATACCCCTAGAAGTAATTTCCTCAATCTCTATGAGGTTCTGAATTATTAGGATATGGATAGCCATAGGAGTGGTGTCAAAATTCATATTGGGTGTATAATTTATTAGGCTAACTTGTCTTTCACCAGTCCTGATGCCTTCCAGCATGTCTGCTCCAAAGATCCTCTAGCCAAACTGGCAGTCTTTGCAGTAACTTAAATCATAAAATGTGAGAGCTCTTGAGATCTCCAGATCTCTTCATCAGTTAAAATAACAGAAAAACAGGTTCAGGGAGGGAAGAGGAAACTACAGCCTTTCCCATTAAGATTTTACCAGTTCTTGGGATAACTTCAGGTTGCAATCAGAACTGCTTATATGAAAACTGCTGCTTGATCAGCACTTTTTTTGGGGGGGAAAACCCTCAATTGGTCATCATCACAGTCAGCAGGACTTGTAGCAGTTTAAAAGCAACATATAAAAATACAATAAAACATCTGAAATGTTAAATGTAGCTATTGTTTTAATCCATTTCATATCTTAAGCAAAGCATATTAAGTTTTTAATTTTATGTGTCAGTTTCCATTTCTGCTCACTCTAACTTGGGTAATACCTGACTCTTATATTTCAAGAATCCAGCATACCTTTGCAGTTTATGTAAAGTATTACAAAATAATACATATTTTTCAAGTTTTTAAATTACCCTCCTAACCTTATAGTATAGAAGACAATGTGAATTCTTCAGATGATTTTATAAAGCTTTCCTAAATTCTCTAGAAACCTTGTTATACATGAAATAGTAAACTTAATAAAATGGTTGGTTAAGACCTCTTGCAAAGTCAGCAGCAATGAAAAAAAGATTTTGGCTCCCTCAGCATGCCCACCAGCCTAGTTTAGAGTACTTGAGATCCTCCAAAGCAGATCTGAGTATGAGAAAGATACAGATTTGCTTCAATGGGGAAGTAAAAAAATTGCATATCAGTGTTAAATAAACATTTTATTTTGACATTCCAGCTTGCAGAAATATTGTATAACTTGCTATTGGTGTATGTACATTGGTCCAAATAAAGGAATTATTTTTCTTTTCTTTTTTTCAAATGCCTTTTCAGTTAATCAGTTTTAATTAGCCTTTTCTTCATGAAGTTTCAAAATCTCTTTACTACAAATTTATAGGGAATAGTTGCTTTTGAATGTTTAGAAATGTGTTGTAATAACCATGCTGGCTGACAGGAAGCTGAACAGATACCACAACTTGTTGTCAACTAAAAGCCTGCCTCTGAGAAACCCGCTGAACTAGCTAATTGCAAGGTGTGTAATAATTCTGGATGCAACTGTACTCACACAAGACTTTTTAGTGAATGCTTCAGAACTCCAGGATGACTTTTGAATGAGTTTTTTGTTCTACATTTATGTGGAAAAATCTGGTAACTGGGCAGTTGATCAGCATTACTTTAGCAAAGGCAACGTGAAAAAAAATAAGCACATGAAAACTACTAAACAGCAAAGGCTCTTTATCTTAAAGAGATTTAAGGGAGTGTCTTCACACCAAACACAGACACACTACTTCCACCACCACCACCTTGCAATAACATAGCTATGTGCTGAATTCAAGAAAATTTAGAGTTTGCTTGCAAATTCTGGTATTCCTAGCCAGCATAGCCAAGCTCAGCTGAGTGACCCTGCTGGAAAGGCTATTCTATAAGGATCCTCAACCATTTTCAGCCAGAAGGCACAATTGGAACGTGGTGCTTTGGTAAAATGGAGAGGCAGATTCTTCAAATTTGTTGGGAGTTTTTGAAGTCCTATTTCTTCCTGAAAAATAGCACTTTATTCTTTCAAACATACAGAAAATAGATATGGTTCATAATATATTATGAAATGATATCTAATGTCCTGTCTCCTCCTTTTTCCTGCTATTAATTTGCTGTTTGTATGACAGCTCATAATCATTGTATGTGTGTCTTTTTTTTTTTTACAGGATGGGAAACTCCTAATAGAACAGCGTTGAGTAGACTAGTCATGAAGTAGCAATATTAAAGGCTGAAAAATTAAGTGTACATTGCCCAGTCTTGGTTTGGTTAATGAGCCAGGTTCACAAACAACAATTAAACATTATTACTGCTGCTAAACCAGTTTATTCACTATGAAGCTTGATGACTGTAGGGATAAAAGCTGTTCACTGTAGGCTGACCAATCAGCTTAGTTGTCTTTAACTCTGCTCAAAACAAATTTCTTTTTTCTAACTTATGGGAAAATAAAATGCCTACCAATGGCAAAGCAGTATTTTGAGGAAAAGGCTGAGGAAATATTTTTCTTAGATACCCAAGCTACTGTACAGGCTGCTGGATCCATTTCTGTACTTGTCTGGTTTCTCTTCTTAAATAGCAGTAGCTATGATTAAGATTCATTATTGCATTACTGATAAATTTAGGATTATAACCTAATGGGGAGTTCCTGTATTCAGCATTTCAAAAGTAAACACTTGCGATTGTGTACATTCTACATCATAATTGTGAGTTTGAGACATAGTATTTGGAGTCAAATTCAGACTAAGTATACAGGCCAGGCCAGTTTTAAAAAGAAAGCTGAAAAGGATTTGAAATTACCCAGCTCTATATCAAGTTTTTTTTTTAAGTAATAAAAACGGAGTTTTGCAACAATAAAATTGCAATATTTGTACAATATATCCATATTTAGTTTTCCAAGTGTGGTGTTATTGTAGGGTTATTGTTATAACTGATGAATTAAACATGCCTGTGATCATGTACTGTTACTCAGTTTAGTTTCCTTGTATATGTTGCAATTTTACTTCTAGATTTCCAGTAAAATAAGCAGCAGAAAAACCTATTCCTGACTCAGTGTCTTTTCTTGATCAGAATAAATCACAAAACATTGCGTTTTCTTTTACAGCATATAGAAAGCTTAGTGAAGATCCAGACTACCATGGAGTGATAGTATTAATTCTGCAATGTAAGTAAATAATATGGATCCATCAGAATTTAATGGTCTGTTGCTATATCCTGAAAGCACATTAATTAATACAGTATGCTTTATATATGCACTGTCTTCAAACAGTGCTTAACTGAAATCTAGTTATTAATAGTGTATTTGATTTATATTTGATGGGTCTAGAATGACCTGTCACTCTCTTCTGAAGTTTACCTTTAAATGTAGTTAAATTCTATCCATGCTGTAATAAATTGCTGCATTGCAGATTTGACATAGAGAGTATTGTAACCAGATTTCATTTTGGATAGATTTGGCTTGTGTGTTGCACTCAGCCATGTTTTGTTTAACCATGGTTTACTGAATAATCCATAATTAGCTGGATTTTCACAATAAGGTAAGCCAAGGACATGTTTTAGAAACTACAGTGGCAATTTGGAAAACATGCTGAGCCGAAGTCATACGAACCACATTATTGCTTACATTGCCACGTGAACCTAGTTTAAATGTAGTGCCTCCTTGAAGGATTTTGATCAGGGCCAATGGACAATTTGCAAACTTGTTTGTAAGGTATTACATCATCTTTCATTTTACAGGCTCACAGAAAACTAAGAGGATGTGCTTACTGTTTCTGACTGATAGTCAAGTCCAGAATTGCAAGAGAAAGGAAATAAGCTGTCTCTTATTCCTTCCTCTCACTTTTACCATAGTTTATTTAATAACCTCTCCCTCTTGCTTAAGGACATGAGAATGGCTCTGCTGAATCAGGCCAAGGCCCATCTTACTCAAGCATTGGTTTCAACCAGATTATCTTTGAGTTGTTTGCAAGCAGGAGTTGAAGATAATTCCTCTCTGTATGTAGCAAGCAGAACTATGCATGGTGTTCCAAATGTGAATGTGCCATAGATTTGTTGGCAATTTTATTTTCAATCCCTTTCCTAATTATTTTTAGCATGAAATTTGTCTTTTTCACAACTGCTGTACACTGAGTTGACTACTTCATTGAGCTACCTGCTATGACTCCAAAAACTTTGGTTAGTTACAGATCCCCATTAGTCAAGATTTATGAACAAGTTAAAAAGAACTGGTCCTGATACAGATCCATGAGGGATTCCATCTTCTATCATGGTTTAGATGGTAACAAGGTAGCCCTGAGGGAATGCAGACCCCTACTTTATACATACCCAGTATGATTTCTCCATTTGTAGTTTATGAACACACTGTGGAAATCTTTACCCATTCCTCTGTAATGCCAGCATACACACACGTAGAACCTGGTTTTGTCAGAAGTCTATACAAAGGTGATTTAATAATAAGCACTGTTTCAGAACAGTTTTACATTGTGTTTTGGGGTGTGTTATCTATTATTATTATTATTATTATTATTATTATTATTATTATTAAGACTGGTTGTAGATAGAAACTTTCAAAGAACAAGTATACTGGGAAGGAAAGAAAAAAGTCACAGAGGCTCTGTCCTCCTGTGTCTTGTCCCTTCCCTGGAGATTTAGGGCCTGAATCATCCTTGAGGGTTTGTCTCAGTCCAGGGGTGCATAATATTTTCAGTGGATCTTTCCTCTGGTTGTCATTCTTGTTCAATGAATTCACTCCTTTGTTGATTCTCTTCCTTGCTTCCTCTCACCATTCTCTTTATAGTCACCTTCTTTGGTCTACAGTAATAAGAAATACACTTCTTTTCTTGTGAGCTGAAATGTGGCCACTCAATGCTGTGAATCCTCATGAGTATTTTCTTTAAACTTCAATAAAAGCTTGTACTTTCTACAAATACACAGGGGTATGAAACCAATCTGTTCACAAGAGGTTCTAGGAGTCTATGTAAATTAAGAATAAACTATGCCATGAAATACAAAATCTTTTAAAATGCATACAATCAACATTTATTTAAAAAGCAATATCACAGATTAGAAATAGGTAAAATTAGAAAATAGGTAACAGTTGAATGTTTAAATATATGGATGATGTGTTCTTGTTAAGATGGTTCTATACAGCAAACATATTCTCTGATGGTTCTTCAAGAGTTCTGGGAGGAACTCTGAAATCAGTTCCTAAACTATGTTTCCAGTGCTAAGAGTTGACAAAAGACTCTGTGTCCCAGATAGTCAAAACCCTGTCGGTTACTTGGGTCATTAAGATGAATATATGGCCAATTGTTAACCTACTTTTTTCACATGTAATAATATTATTCAACACACAAAAGCCTTGTTCTGCTTTTGCACCACTAACAGTTATTATAGTTAAAAATTTAGCAATTGTGTATGGAACAATTAAGGTTGATTTCAAATTTTAATAGCTGATTCAAGGGTACTAATTTTCATCTTCAAGCCACAAAGTACTTAACCATATTTCCATGTAGTTGGATCCAACTGATGAAAAGACTAACAGTTCTTGATAGTATTGATCACTGGTGCTGCTTTTATATTTGTTATTTCCCAGTTTAAAAATAAAGCAATTTGTTGATAAAAGTCTGTCAATTTGTCAATTAGCAATTGATTTTTTTTCTCATTAGAGATGGATTTTTTTTTGCACTATTTTTGAATGGCATTCTATTTGCATTTGACCAACTGAGGAATTTGCTGTTTGTGTTTAGCAGTTCTTCACTTAACACCTTGTGTTGCTCTCTTTTATCAGTTTTTTTGTAAACTCCTACGTTTTTATTGCAAAGCATCTGATAGTATGAAACTTTTCCTAAATATCAAAAAATAGAGCTAAATCCCATAGGAAATTCACATTTGCCATTCCATATTTTTTTTTCTCCTTATTAAGGTGAGACTGGCTACTCTCTGTCCATAGCAAATCCTTCTCCTCAAATATATTCCAAATAATAATTCCAGCTTCTAAATCTTTTGTGATTTTATGAAATTTTGCTTCATTTTTATTAGGCTGACAATAAATGGAGCACATTTTCTCCAAAAACAAGTTTGAGTTCAGAAATGAGCTGGATCTAGCCAGGAGCTGTAGAGAAAAAAAATATACCCAGAAAAAAATCCCAATAGGAGACATTTTTAGCAGGGACTGGGAATGAGGCTGATGACTTCCTTCTTAGGCCTCGTCTCACTACACTTCTGCTCACATGACCCAGAGTGCAGCTGCTGTTAAGGGGATCAAAAGGATTCCTAAT